CTTTACTAAATTAGTCCCAGGGCAAAATTGTCATTTCTTCTCAATATTTTAATAATTAAATATTAATTAAGATTCGGGTTGTCACAGTAGGTCTCATAGGTCCTAGCTCATGCCAAGTGTGCAGCTCATATTGCTGACACTAAATTGTATGGCTGAGATCATATTCTTTGTTGTACAAAAGGAATGTTCTGATAGAAATGAAAAGTGTGTGTGTACGTTGCATTGTATTGCTATTGGAGCTGAGTAACATTCTCTCTCTCTCTCTCTCACGCACCATCTCTATTTTTCTCTGCTGCATTTCTTCAAATACTTTCTCTACAAGAAAACTGATACACTATCAAAACTCCAACAGATCGCATCTCCATATCTTCAACTCAGAATCAATTAGGTCAGCCACGGTCAAGGGTAGGTCAGGATGTCGTGAACTCATCTTAAAAGTGTGAGGTCATCCCCAAGACACTTTCCTCCCAACCATGGCCTCCAGAAAACCCACACCTGGATGATATTTATCATGCAGCACCCTCCCCAAAAGGGATTGAGGCTTGCCCAAAATCCTCCAACCAATCTTCGCCAGCATAGCAAGGTTGAAACAAACCAAATCTCTAAAACCCAACCCATCATCCTTCTTGAGCAACGATAATTGTTTCCACCCCACCCAATGAATAGGCTTACAGTCCTCCCCAATTTTCCACCAAAACCGCGCTATCTCACTCTCTATTTCACGGCACAACCGTACTGGTAATTTGAAGCATGACATAGCTGTTTGGGCCAAAAATTGACACATCCAGCCCAAGGCCCATCAGAACAAACAAGGCTGATTTGGGCCTCACAGGCCCAACATAATAGGAAGAGGGAGTCCAGACCAGAAGAGGGAACAATCCCACATGGCAACTTCTGGGATAAAAAGTCAGCAATGGCGGAAGTCAGCAGGGATGAAAAGTCAGCAATAGCAACTTCTGGGATAAAAAGGTCAGCAATGGCAACTGTCATAGAAGAAGTGATTGAAGGGTTCGTGACAGCAAGAAGAACTGAAGATTAAACCCCCCTTATATATGTATATTCAGATATTTTTCTTCTGTCCTTTCAGAGAAGGTAATTCTCCCAAGGAGATAAGCAAGTTACAATCTCAGAGAGGGATAAGCAGGAAAGCAGGGAGCTGTCCAGAAAAGGAATCAAACTAACCATCACTGGTAAAATATCACAAGGGGCAGTAGAAATTGGGAAAGAGATTAGGTTCCTTTTCAAGAAAATCAGGGAAGTGATTGCCTATCTGAGAGCCTATCTGCCAAAACTGAAGAAGAAGAGGAAAAGGGGGGAAATATCTTTGCCGCCCAATAAATAAACACAATCACCCTACTCCAGAGAAGAAACAGTTTACTATAAATACAAGAAGGGGTGAACAGGGTA